AAGGTAAAGCTCTGGCTCAGGAAATTCTTTATCAGCTCCATGGGGGAAAGATCTCTCCCAGTCATCATCTTGTCTCGTTTGCTGCAGGCTGGCCGTTGCTCCTGGGGCTTACTGGGATCCCATCAGCATTTCAGCTCCTTACATTGCCCTTTTTTCCTGAAAGTCCCAGATATCTGCTGATACAAAAGGGCGATGAGGATCAAGCACGACAAGGTATGGCATCTCCTGTTGCTGAAAGGTGAGGTGAAATGGCAAAAACCTGGCTGTAGGGCATGACAGACAGCAACCAACAACAAAGCAAGAGAGCATGAAATCCTCAGTTGATGTGTTGCTGGCTTTTTGCAGCATTGCTCCTTTGCTTCCATGAATTTCTTACTTCCCACCCTGGGAGCAGTACTACTGCCCTGGTTTTGAATGTTGTAGTGTCTTGATGTAAAGCAGGAGAGCTTTCTGGGGTCTGTAGCTCATCTTCCTCTCCCAACCAGCTCTGCAGCGTTTGAGAGGCTGGGATGATGTGGATGATGAGATAGAAGAAATGCGCCAAGAAGACAAATCAGAAAAGGAAGAGGGACACCTCTCTGTGTTCACCCTGTGCACCTTCAGAGGCCTGCGCTGGCAGCTCATCTCTATTGTTGTCATGATGATGGGCCAGCAGCTTTCAGGGATCAATGCAGTGAGTAACAGCGGGCTGGGACTCAGTTTGGGGCAGCACTGGTGTAGGAGCTGGAAACTAGGAGACAGGGGTGCTCCCTTCACCAGGAACATTGGTTCTGGGTGATGTTATGGGGGAATCACCCTGACCTGTACCAAACTCAGTATGCACGTGATTCTGAGTCCAGCTGTCCTGTAAGGGTAGTTGGGATGTTTTTGGAGGTGAGATGCTTGTGTCTGGATCTTAACACCAACATCTCCAGTACTGAAATAGTTTTTGAATTTCCTGCGTTCCACTTCTAGGATTGTAGAAACAACCAGAGTAGGATTCCTGTGCTCTGCTTCTGGCCACATTTAAACACAATTGGTTTTGCTGCAGGTCTTCTACTATGCAGACAGAATCTTCCTGTCAGCAGGTGTGGAGACCGACAACGTTCAGTATGTCACCGTGTCCATAGGTGCCATCAACGTTCTCATGACTTTCCTTGCTGTAAGTTTCTGTTGGGACTCTCTGAGCCTCAGTGGTTTGGATGTTTGGTTTCCAGGCTGCTCTGCCCTCCTCTTGCCATGCAGTGCTCCCCTACAGCTCTCTGGAGCTGGGTACCAAAAGAGGCATGCCTGGCTTTTTGCAGTTCCTGGGTGCACAATACATTAGCAAATGGGGGAAATTTCACTGCATTTCTTAATAGCCAAATATTACCTTAATAGAACTGGGTAGAATAAAGCTCTGTGCTTTGATTATTTGATCTCTTACCCTCTTCTGTCTCTTTCAGGTTTTCATTGTGGAGTCCTTGGGAAGGAGAATCCTGCTGCTTGCTGGCTTTGGGTTGTGCTGTGGCTCCTGTGCAGTGTTGACTTTGGCCCTCAACCTCCAGGTGTGTAGCTGCATCACCCTGGTGTATTGTGGAGTTGGTGTGGGAGGTCTCTCAGTACCTGCATATCTATCCAAAGTGAACCCAGGCAGAGCCATGATGCTGCTGTGTGAATGCTTCTCCCAGCCTATTGTGTTTGTGCCTGTTGCATCCTGTAGCTGGAAGCAAAGGTGGTACACAGAGCATGTGCTCAACAGCTTGGCATGTCAGCTTGGGCACAGCTGGCAACAGGGGCTGACTTCTGAACACCCCCAAATCTTGTATCAATTAATGCCTTGAATGTGTTGGTGGCTTTGAGTTGAGAACCAACTCTAACTCCTGATTATATTCTTCACAGAATACTGTCTCATGGATGTCTTACCTCAGCATAGTGTGTGTCATCATTTACATCATTGGACATGCTATTGGAGCCAGTGAGTACGCACAAGCTAGCCCAGTCCCCTCCACAGGTTGGGTAAAGGCAGGCATTACACTAAGCATCAAACTAAGAGCTCTGTGGGGCTGATCTAAGGAGGTCAAATTTGTCCTGTGCAGCCATGCACCTGGCTGATCGTCAGCTAGATTGGTGCTCCAGTGATCAGAGTGCTGTGCCCATGAGGCAGGGGAGCACCTGGCTTTCAAAAGGAAAAGCCAAGGCACAACTGAGTTTGTACTGAGATGTACAGTGAGACCTCGAGCAAAGCTGTGTTGAGGTTGGTGAGACCTATCAGCTGCTGTGTGCTTGCATCTGTAGGGATGCCTTTGGGATTTCCATACATAAAATTCTTCCAGGTCCAATCCCCTTTGTGATGATCACTGAGATGTTCCTGCAGTCATCCCGGCCTGCTGCCTTCATGGTTGGTGGCTCTGTGCACTGGCTCTGCAACTTCACCGTGGGACTCGTGTTCCTCTACATGGAGGTAAGGTGTGAGCAGGGGATGGCACATGGCTTTAGCTCAAAATTAGTGATCTCTGGGTCACCAGTTCACACCGATCCTAGTAGAAGTGACCCATAAATTGCTATAATGACTGATTTTTAGCCTGTGCAAGGGGAACTGGTGAGTTCACTTGAATTTGTGTGGCAGGCCCTCACCCTTAGGCACCTTTTTCAATAAATCCATGGTAGTTTCAAAAAAATCCATCAGAAGCCAGCATCCTGAATCACCACTAGCTTTGAGTTGTTCCACTTGAAGGAACGTTACTGTGGCTGCATGTATAGCTATTGCAGGACTCAGCATGTACTGACCACAATTGCAGCATTGCCCTGACTCTTGCTCTGTCATCTTTCATTGCTTCAGGCTGGTCTAGGGGCCTACAGCTTCCTCATCTTCTGTGGTATATGCCTCGCCACCATGATCTACATCTTCTTCATTGTACCTGAGACGAAGAACAAAACCTTCATGGAAATCAACAGAATAATGGCCAAAAGGAACAAGGTGGAGATTCAGACGGATGTAGAACAGATGATGGATTTGCAGACTGTTCCAAGTGTGAAGGCAGACAAGCCAGAAGTTTTGGGCAGTGATCTGTGACACAACCCAGTGCTTGGCCTGGCCCAGGTGTTTTCCAGCATCTTATCAGTGGAAGAATACAGCTCAATTCTGACCTTCATTCAGACTTTCTGCACAACTCCCACAGAAGTTTTCAAATAAGCCTTTATTCTGTCTTAAGGTTGTTCTCACTCTGAGTAATCAGTAGGACCACTCTTCTTTGTGGCATGGTGAGTTCAGGGACAAATTTCCCATTCCTTGTATTTGTCACTAGGAAGGAGCAATGCCTGCAGTCAGCTCAGTTCCTCTGATCAAGGAACTGATGTCACAGTGTGGTGCATGCCCTTTATGTCCTGAGTGAACCATCTCAGGTGACATGGAACAGCACCTGGGCTGTGTTTTGGTCAGTCATGTGCAAGGAGCGCATTGTATTCCTTGACCATTCCTTGAACATGAATGTGAGGGTCCAGCATGTGTGAGGACAAGCCTTTGGTGCTTGGTATTCTGAGTGGAGAGTGTGTCAGATGCACCAAGGTGCTCTGATAGATGTGTTCTAGTGGCACGTATCCTATCACCTATACAAAGGACCTTAAGACTGGAAATGCACATAACTTTAATCTCACCCCCACCCTGCTCATCAGACAGACTCCTGGAAAGCTAACTTTGCTGCTGAGTCCTTCCAGAGCCTTATTCTTGAGCTTAGGAGCATTCCATTGGCCCTGTGCTTATTCACGGGCTGCTGATACACAGTTGTTCCTGTGGCACTCCAGTCTTTGGAAATAGCTCCTTTCGTTCCTTAGTGCTCACATAGAAGCTGCCAAAGAGTTTCAGCCCCTCTCCTAATCCTTTAATAGCCCCCAGAGGTACAGTCTGTGTATATGAGCCAGGTGGAGCTCATTCATTCCCAGAGATGTGCGAACTCGCTGTGTGCTGGGGTCAGGTTTGGGCAGATTCTGTGCAGTGACCGCGGGGCCGTGTTTCCAAGCATGTCCAGATCTGCCTTTAAGCACCTTGGTGTGAGACACTACAGATAGTTTTCCAAGGAATTCATTTCTCAGGGACCCGGCTTCTTGAAAAAGTTCTCAGGTGGTTTAAAGCTTGGTCCTCGAATGGTTCTTTCTGGTTGTGTCCCTAAGGGCACAGCTCCACCTGAAGGCTGAACTGGTTTGGAGGAGCCAAGACTGAAGAACCAGAGATGACTCACCAGGGAAATAAAAGTGCACTCTGATAAATAGAGGATTTATTAAAGTATTTATTAGTGTAAAGGATTTTAGGGTTAACTCTATTATTTGACATGTGGAAATAGAGTTAATTGTGCAATGTTGCTGCTTTCTGTTGTGGAAAAAAAGCAGAATGGTTCAACAGCCTGGCATGGACTTTGGTGATAACCCTTAAGGTGATGCACTTCAGCTTAGGAGATGAGCTTCATACAGACCCCCAGTCTTGTGATGTGCACCTGTTGGAAAAGAAGCTGCTCCCATGCTCTGTCTCCATCCATTCACAGCAAGGACTTGTCATCAAGTGACTGTGTGGGAGTCGCACTGCCCTTGCATACACTTTCCTATGTGATACACCTACAGCAGTGGTGACTTGGTGATAAACGGGAATAAAGCATGGTGCAGGAAAGGCACTGAGAATGGAGATGGGATGTTGGGAAGTGAGAAAAGTTCAGCTTGAGAGAGCTGTCCTCTAACCAAAGAGAGTGGCATGTGGGTCCCTGGGTGGAAATCTTAACCTAGGAGTGGGAGGGATGTGCAGATACAAGGTGTTGAACTGTGCTTCGTTCTTTGCCTCTGTCCCACTGACCAGTGGAGGCTTTGCCACCTCGTACCTGCTTGGAAAAACAACCTGGAGCACTAAGCAGTGCCTAGTGACCCTACATAAAGTAAAAGAGGAAACAGGCAATTAACCTAAAACAAGCAGATGGAGCAAGCTTTCCTTCCTCAGTTTCTTCAGCAAGAAGTTTGGATTCTTCAGCTGCTTAAAAATATATATATGTATATTGGGGTCACTGACAGCTGGTGTCAGCCTCCAGCACCACCCCCCCAAAGAGGGTCATGGGGGTTTCCCCCCATGCAATGACATCTCCCTTCAGCTTTCCTGCTTTGCACTGTGCAAGTGCCCGAACGTCTGCAGGGCTGAGGACTTGGCTCCACAGGTTCACATGCGTCATCCACCCTGCAAACCCATTGGAGAATGTCCCAAGAAGAGTGTCTCTGTCCTTCCCAAGGACAAGCATCCCTCCAGCCTGGCTCACATAGCCTTTCTGGATGCTCTTTGCATCCCCAGCAGCTCCATTGAGCCACAGAATTGCTATTCCAGACTGGGAAGCCCATGCCACGCAGTAATGCAGCCAGTCCTGTGCCTTGTGGTAGAGGGGGAAGCTGACAAAATGGCCTCCTATCCACAATCCCACATCTGTGCCTGTGGTCATCACCAGCTCGTTGTCCCTCTCCCGTGTGGAGTAGGAGAGAACAGTCTGAGTGCCCACGTGCTGGGCTTGCGTCCAGAAGCACAGGGTGAAGGCTTGGAGAGACATCTCATGGCTGGGACGGACCTCCACAAAGCTCTCAATGTTTTCCATGGGGAAGTAGAAAGCTGGGAATGTGCTGGGTGTAATACCTGAAATGATTGAGAAGCCAGCTGTTACGTCTTCTCTGGTGCTTGCAAATGAGCCCAGCTCCTACAGAATACACCCACAGGGGCTGCCTCAGCCATGGTTGTTGGCTTGGCTCCCTCACCCAACTCTTTTGGGAAAAATCCTTTTTTTTTCCCCTTCCTTCCTTTGTTCCCGTCTTTAGTAAAATGAAGATAATGATTATTTATCCTGGGGGAACAGTGAGCTTTAATGCTTCCCTGTTTGTAAACCTGTGCTTACATGTTGCAGGACAAGCTGCAGTTGCTGGGAGAGGTGCTAGATTTGGGCTGGGTTTAATGATGCTGTAGCTCGTGGACGTCTTCCAGTTGGCCTAGGCATGGAACAAGATTCTACCTGCACGCATCAGTGCCAAACCTGTTGATGATGTAGGCCATCAAGAACAGCAGGTCTGGGCCATCCTTGGAAGGAAAGCTGGACTTGGAAACAGAGTGTTTCTTACCTGTGTGGCTCGCTCCATTCAGGAACTCTTTCTTCATGTCTCGGAGCTGTGTCTGGATTTGTTCCAGTTTGAGGCTGAGTTCTTCTGGCTGGCATTGTTCTAGAGCAATCAGACAGAGGGGGGCTTACTGAGAGCCAGGAGCTACACGTGGTAATTCTGCTTGCCAGTTTGCAGGAGGTTTGGAGGAAACCTCTGTTTTAAAATGCAGCGCATCGCCCTGATTACAGCACTTGGCTCGTTAACAGAGCTGTTCGTACACCGGTTCGTGTGCTTCACCCATGCAGAGGCAGGCACACTCAACATACTGCGTGTGTGAAGCCACAGAGCAACACCCATCCTGGGCTGTGTGACACTTCCAGTGCACCAAAACGCTGCCACCCATCCTGCCACGCCATCAGTAGCAAGATGCACAGCAGGGACGCAGCTGTTCTTGGGGATTGCAATCACAGTTTTACCTAATTGAAATGGTTTGCAGCCCAGCTCCTTCCTGCACTGTACCTTGTCTGGGTCTGGCTTGGAAGGAAGCCTCCACCACGCGGCCGTGCAGGGGCTGTGCGTGCCGGTAGTCGTTGCGCAGCGTCCTGTTGTGCCAGTCCAGCAAGGTGTTCTCCAGCAGGCCGATCTGGGGGCAGGGCAGCCTTGTTATAAGGGCAGCAGGATCGAAATTTTAGCCTAGAAGTGCAGGGCAGGTCCTGCAGCTGGGGGTTAAACACAGTTGTTTGTGAGAGGGTCTCTCCCCCAGCATTGCCAAGGGAAGGGAACAGCACCTCAAGGCTCTAATCAGCAAAGTCGTGCTGATGAAGGTGTTTTGCCTGAAGGATGTAATTCTAAGTGTTATGCGTGGATGCAATTATTCTGTGGTATACTGCCTAGTTACAAGTGCCCACTAATGCCTTCCCCACCACAAAGTATTTCATTTTTAAACGCAGACTGTCCTCCACTGCTGTCATCTCCACTTGACCCCGTTCTCCTGGAAACAGTTTGATGCTTTTTTTTTTTTTTTTTCATTACAGAAGATGAACTGCTCTGCAAGACTTACCCGTAAGCTCACTTTACTGCTGCTATTTGTTCTCTGCCAAAGCCTTTGTGCTGACAAGGCAGATGGAGGGCAGAGCTGGGCATCCTGCCGTGCAGCAGCATCCAGCTGCTGGCTCTGAGCACAAGGACCTGCACACAACGAGGTCCTCAGCAATAACTCAGCCAGAGCATGGACAACCCCCCCACTGCACAGCCAAAATGCAAAAAGAAAAGAAACACTCCTTTAGAATTGTGCCAATTGTTCTGCAATGATTTTAATGCTCTGAATGGCTCATTTATGATTTTTTTTTTTTTCCTTCTCTCTGTCTTTTGCAGTACTTTTCACCTTGTTGACTCTGGCTGGTCTCTTTAGTGCTTCATCATGGCTGAACAGCTGAGCAGAGCCTTGCTATTGCTCAACAGACCTCAGGTCTAACAGCCACCAGTCATTCCAGTTGCTTTCAAGTCTATCCCTAAGGCCCTATGAAAGACATCCCAGTAGTTCTGCAGGCTTTTCTCTTAGGTCACTGGAGAATGGAGAATGAAACTGGAGTGGAAGGAAAGTGTGGAGGAAAGAGAAACTGCTGTGCTGCTGAGCAGCCCTCAGGTACCTGTGCATGAGACAGGATGATGGGAGAGTCGAAGACGGTCCAGGTGACACTTTCAGAGCAGGGTGGGGTTGTGAGCGAGCCCTGATACCTGTAGAAGTGTGAGAGGTTTTCTGGCAGCATGGCTTGGACGTCCAGAGAAGTGAGCTTGGTTGACTGACCTCAAAAGGAAACAGAAGCAGTGTTAGCTGTGAGCAAACCCAGCCCCACTACGTACGTGGAGGCTTAAAGAGCATCGAGTATGGAGAAGGGCAACCCCAGCTCTTACCTGCAAACCTGATTTTTGCCAATTTGGAAATGAATTCACTGTAGTAGGTATTCTCCAAGTGTCCTTCCTAGACACAGCATAGAGAGTTGAAAGGTTGCTGAGCTGCCCAGCTCTCAGAAGCACTGCTCAGCCTCCATCTCTTGTAGGCCAGGCATGCAGCCCTACTGCAGGCAGCTGGACCACTCCCAGTGTGGGATGAATACTGACCATGGGCTGTCATTGCTCAGCTTCCCAGGGGTCAAACCTACCACGTACAAGAAGGCAAGCACCGCCAGTCCATTGGGTTTGTCTTTGGCTTCTTCAAAGCTTGAGTAGTCTGCAGAGTTATAATGGACGATGTGCAGCTGCCAGGAGAGAGACAGGGCCATAGAGCAAGAGGTGACAAAAGATTTCCTCATCCTCATCACCATAAAGGACTGTATCCCAACCTCCCTGCCTCCCCATCCCTCCAGCCTCCATTGCAGGTACCTCTGCCACGTATCTCATCCCATCCAGCGTGTGCTCGGAGCCGCTGGTCTCCAGGTCCAGGCCTCCCCAGTGCAGGTGCATCTGCACTGCGGTGTAGGGGCGCGGGAGCCCACGGGAGATGGACAGGGTGGGTGGCAAATCGATCTGGACTGAAAAAGAGGATTGGAGATGGCCATAAGTGTGGAGCTGGCTCTGCTAGCTGTGTCTGCAGGGTTTTTCCCAGCTGGGCAGCTGTATATTTTGTTTTTTGTTTTTTTTTCTTCTCAGGCACCAATAAAAATGCTTTAATGTTTGTTCTTGGCATAGTACATCACATCTTGCTGAGCTCTGCATGCATTCATTAATGTCTTTATTCCCAGGCGGAACAGAAGAGTAAGAAATCAGCCAAGTGACCTGGCCTCACCTAACCTGTCACCATCACTTTCCATGCTCTGGGATGTGCATCTCCTTGGGACAGCCATGCAGGGCCAGAGCCCATGAGCCTGAGCAGGCAGAGCTCTTTGTTTCTCTATGAAGGGTATTCACAACGGGACTATAAAAAATTGGTTTTCTGCTGGTGTGCTGCCACAAATCATATATTGTGGTGCTAAACATGCCGAACTGAATACTGCAAATGGAGAATTGCCTCATCCAGGCGAAAGCCCAGAGCACGTTATAAAATAGCAGCTCTCCTTGCTGAAGAGCACATCGTTACTCACAGCTTGGGTTAGAGGTTTATTTGTTTGTTGGCTGTTGACAGGCAGACAAGATGGGAACGCATTTCCATGTGATATCCCAAGGGATCAGCGGTGGAGAGTAAACACACACCTTACTTTTTACATTAGATTCCTGCTGAGTGCTTTCCATTAGGAGTTCCTTGTGGAATACTGCCATCCTGTCTTCCCTCACCGAAGTCAGTGGGAAAACCAAGCCTGCTTTTATGGTATCTGTCCATACAGACTGTCATCTGCCTTTATCAGAATGCCCCACACATCACTGTTTTGATGTTAGCGTGAGGATGGGGGAAATACACGCATGCAGTCAGAGATGTGAATGCTAAACCTGCAGAACTGGTGTGCAGGCAGTTGGGCAGTGCTGCTATGGGAGCTCGCTAACGCAGGGTTTGTGTGGGAGACAAACAGGAGTGCTGTTCATGACAGACTGTAGAAATATGATCACAACAGTCTCTCTCTGAAGACAGCATCTCTCATCTCTTCAGCTCCTTGCTCTCCCTCTCTATTGATTTCTCTCTGCAGCAGAGAGAAAAAAGGACTGTTGGGGGGGGGAGGATTAGAGACGGACTGGGCCCTTCGTGTTCCAAATGCCACGAAAGTACTCAGTCCCCCTGAAGCAGTTGTTGGCCAGTTCTTCTCTCGCTGCTCATCTGTAGTCCAAAAGCATTATCCCACCACCACCAGCTGATGAATTATTTAGGTAATGAATTACGCTCTGGCAGCATCCAGGACCTCCTAATGGCAAAGCCTTGCTCAGAGGCCCTGCGTGACCGAAGGCAGGGCACTGAGCCTGGGCTGTGCTCCAGCTTCCCTTCCCGAGGGCTGCAAACCAACCATTGCTCAAAGGGAGGACGACTGCTCTGTCTGACTGTATGGAACACAACGTCAGATGCAAGCTCATTGCTGGGCTGCAGATCCGTCCCATCACTTCTGCTTCCTACTGCACAAAGGCAAAGGATGCATTCTATGCGGAGAGGAGTCAGTAAGCCCCAAACTTGCTCCTTCAGTGCTGCAGTTGTCAATGCACTGAAAGAAGGGGCTCATGTGCCGTGCTCTAGCTGCCTTCCATCCCTGTTTGATGTCTAACAGACAGTACCTTGCAGAGATGTCACTGCCTTTCATTTCTCTGGTTTATAGATGCATTTCTGGAAAGCTTTCCTGTGTGACTGGGGAAAAGAGCAGAGCTTGGAGTGCAGGATGAAGTGAGATGGCAGAGCCAAGGAGGGCAAGTTCAAAAATGAACAGCATTTTAAATGGCCAAACCCAGCAGTCTATTCCTGCAATGGTGTGAGTCTGATGTTCTCCCAGGGCATCTGCTCAGCAGGTGCAGGACTCTTACAGAGGCCCAAACAAAGGTTGGGGCTTCTGGCCAGAACTACCATTAACAACATCTGTGTTTTAAAAACACGTGCCTTGGCTTTGCTGCCAGCATCTCCCAGGTCACAGCAGCAGTGTGTGGGCTGGGGAAGGAATTGCTGCTGCCTGCAAAGTGCAGCTGAAGGGAGCTGTGCATTGCATGTCCTCCAGCACTTACCATGCTCCTGCAGCCTCACCTGAGTGCCCGTTGTTGGTCATGGTGAAGTCCCCCTGCAGTGGCTGGCTGTACCCGCTCAGCTCCAGCTGCAGCAGCTGCACGTTGTGCACCGCCTTCTTCCTCTGGATGTCAATGGGAGACTGCTGCTTGCCAGCACATGCAGCAAAATGCAACCCCCAGTGCTCTTCATCCAGCTCACCCTCTGTGTGGAGGAGCAGACAGGTTATTAGCATGTGGTGGGAGCTGCTGCTTGCTCAGGAGTCAGAAAACGTACAGTATTTTGACTGCAGGGCTGCTGAGCTGCAAAGTGTGAAGCTTGCCTGGTGGTAACAGCACAATGCCTCACCTCTCATGCCCACCCATGGAGGAAATGAGTGCATGGCAGAGCAGGCATGTGGGCTCCTGTCCTTCCTCCAGTGGCTCTGAGCCTGCTAACCCTGACTGCAATCCTTCCTGCAGAGGTCTGAGCGCTGCTGGAACTGCTCACAGCTGCTTGAACACAATGGGGCTGTTTGCACTCTCCATAGTGCTGTATTTAATATCTTAAGGCTGAGCAGCAATTTTGATGCCATGTCTGTCGTGGCTGTGACAGTGACTGGGGTGACTTTCTCACCTTACATCCCTCCAGCATTGCCACATACCCATCACTGTGAGAGTTCTGTCTGTCTGAGATAATCCATGCTACAGTCAGGGAATCATCAGCAAGTGACTGTGCCCTCACTGAGTGCAAATCCTGCAGTGATGGGTTGGAAGGAGAGGTGATGGTGATTGTTTGGAAAAGAAAGTAACTTAAGGCCCTCAGCAGCCCCCAGCCTGGGCCCCAGCCACAGCGCGGCCCTTCGCTTCACTGAGCTCTGCTAACGAGCCCCTGAAACAATTAACAATCACATAACATTCCCCAAGATCTATAAATACGGAGATGAGCCCCTTTTTTGTGACCTGCACAATAAAACAAGGAGCGAGCAGTAGGTCGCACTTTTCCTTCCAGGATCGCCCTGAGGGCAGCTTTTACTCTAAGATATCATAAAGGTTTTCCCCCTCATCTGAGCCCATCCATCTGCCAGCCCTGACACCTCACGGCTCAGTGCAGCACAAAGCCAGAGGACCCCTTCCAAGATACACAGTCAGCAATAAAGCGGAATGAATTGGCTGCTCGCTGGAGAGCTGCTGCTAACAAAAGGAGCAGCAAGCTGAGTGTTGCCTCTGCAGCACGGCAGGAATGTGAGCGCCTCAGCAAGCTGGCAGCAGCAGCCATCCCAAAGCCTCCTCCTTTGTGTTACCTCGGTAGGTCCAGTGCACGGCGTGGGAGCAGCTCAGCAGCTGCAGCAGCAATAGGGCCGTCGGGATGAGCATCTCTTCCTGCATCTGCAGCCAGATGGAGATGGGGAGCACTTGTCTTTAAGAACACCCAGGAAGCAAAAAATGCCCATTTCCTCCCAGCTGAGCCCCTCCAGCACCCATCCCGCCCCACGGTGTGCTGCAGGCACTTGGCTCCTTTGAAAATGATTATCCTGGAGGTCTTTTCCAACCAGAATGACTGTATGGTTCTTACAAAGCCCCAGTGGCTGTTAGAGGGATTCACATCAGAGCTGAGAGGCTTTGGGTGCCCCAATGCTCCCGTGGGCTCCTGTAGCTGCTCAGTACATTGCCAAATGCTTGCTTTCCCCAGCCATCACTGCCCAGCAAAAAGCAGCCTTGCAAGGCACTCGTGGTTGGCAGTTTTGTGCAGCATGTGTTTAATGTTCGGGAACTGCCATAATATGGAGTTAATTAAGCAAATGCATACTTTTCCTTCTCTCCCCTAAAGAAATCATTTATCTTGACAGCTGCACTGAACTGTGCTGGGGCTGAACTAACCAAACGTGCCCTGCGATGCACTCCCTAATCCGCGTGGATCCACTTGGGTAAATAAGCCTTGAAATCCGCTGAGGAGACACTTCAGTGTTCATACCTGGGTGCACTCCTGGATTCCAGACGGCAGCACAGAGCATGAGCTGCACCAGGAGGGTGCAGTGACCCCACAGCTGCCCATCACCCTGTGCGCTCCATTGATTGGCTTGGGATAAAAGCAGCCCACAGTGAGCTGGGAGTTGGGGCTGGCAGGGAATTCATCCTTAGTGGAGCTTTTGCAACGTGCTGTAGCTGGGATGTTTCACCTGACCTCAGTAAGGCTGCAGGTGCTCTGCACTTCCCCTGCTGCCAAAAATGAGCTGCACGGGGTGCATTGAGCAGCTGTGACATCCAGTGGCCAGAGGCAATGCAGTGAGGTTTGGGATGAGCCCATCCCATGTGGCAACAACAACAGAGCCCATCCACTGCACTCTGCACCTCCAAAGGGCTGTGCAAGCATTAATTTCCTAACACTGCACAGCTTGGTGGATAGATGGGTGGGCAATGCCACCAGCACACCGGGAGAAGCTGCACAGTCCCACTGCCATCACCACAGCCTGTGCAACAGGAGCTGAGAGCATTTCCCATGAGAACCTGGTTGATTTTTAGGGCAGGAGAGCATCGAGAAGGAAATGTAAATCCTCCCTGTCTGTGCCGTACCTGTTCTGCAGCAGAGAAGCCTGCTTGATAACCTTTTTTTTTTTGCATGAGTGCTGTGCACTCATTCAGACAACAAAGGAGCTGTTATTTGTTTCACCCATACTGTCTGCTGGCTCCCATTCTTGGTTCAGTACCAAACACCATCTCCCAACAGCAGCTGACCACTCACCCATTAGCAGGATGACCAGACCAGGGCTCAGGTTGCACAGAGCTTGGAATTCACATCCAACTGCTCCAAAAGCTTCCAGTTTACCCTCAGATCTCAATCTCTGATGGGTAGCTGCTGGGAAAGGTGCCCTGGTAGCATCACCCTGCTCAGGCTGAGCAGCACAGCTGGGCAGTGCCTGAGGTCAGGAGGCTGAGACCATTCCCAGGGCACCCAGCAGCCCATCTGCCAAACCCCAGGAGGACAGAGGAGAACTGGAAGAGTGAAGCTATGCACTTTAAGAAAGACATCAGTCTGTCACCTCCGGTCATTTTGTTATTCTCATGCCTAAAATCGGCAGTGTTTCATCACCCAGAGGCTGCAAGGCTAAAGCACGACAGCAGAGGGGGATGAGAAGGTAGAAAGTCAGAAGGAGTTTGGATTACCTGGAAGAGAACCTAAGAAGCCATGCAAGATCTGCAATAGAAGCAGTGTTGGCAGTGCTGTTACCTTTCCAGCGACCGCTCCTCGGAGCCCCCAAGGGCTGCGGGTGGGAGATGCACTCAGGAAGGCCTTGTTGAGAGGCTGCTGGTGCACAGGGCTGCTTTTTGGAAGAATCCTATGGAAATAGGGCCCAGATGGTAGAGCTGAGCTGATGAGCACTTGCCCTTCAGCTGTGCACTGAGGAAGGAAGAGAGATTCCTGCAGTCTTAAGGAAACGCATGCACAGAGCAAAAGCTCACGCCCTGGCAGGCAGCCTGTTCTGCATGGAGCTGCTGGGGTGTATGACTGAGCTGGGGAACAAGTCCTGGCCTGCAGAGGTTCCATTCTCCAAGCATCCTAGTGGTTGGAACCACGAGCTCATTGCAAGCAAGTGGAATAAACTGCATGCACTGCATATAGCGCATCGTGCAACCCGGCCTTGCAGCGCAGATGGGTTTTGCAGTGCTGTGTGGATGCCCAGGAATGTTCTCCCTCTGCCCCATCGGTGCCCAGCACTGTGTGTTGGCGTGGGGCTGCTGGGCTGTCAGGGCGGATTACAGCTGCACAGCTTTAAGGTGCCAAAACGTGTTCCTTCCCAGTGTGCCCCATTGGCCACGTGCCCCCCCTGCCAAAAGTTCTGCTCAGGATAGCATTAAGCAGTTACAAGCCCGGACTGCCACAGGAACTGCTGCCAGCCAGACAGCTCATAGCCTCGGGGATGCTCTCATTTCTTACAGAGGGAAAGCAGAGCCAGGCTGGGTAATGGCTGAGAGCAGCCCGGACCTCCGCTTGCCTCCACGTGGCACGGTGCAGCTTCACCTCCCGGCTGCCGCAAGCAGGAGGATGCTGTGCTCGCTGCTCGCTGCTGCCCTGAGCGCGACACAAAGGCTGTGACACAAAGGCTGTGACACACAGCTGTGGGGGTTGGCATGCAGCGAGAGATCTGCCTATAAAGCAGCAGTTCGACTCCAGTTTGGGTTTTTTATTGTTTTTTTTTTTCTTTTTTTTTTTTTTCTAAACTTCCTGGCCAATATTGCTGTGCATAATATTCTCTGGGCAAATTCCTAACGCCAGGGCTTGCTGTTGGACCCTGCTCTGATGCAAGGTCCCCAAGCACGTGCCTTTGGGGCATCAGTTCCAGCCAGAATCTTTTGTTCCCTGCAGCCCTGGGGGCTGGGCTGGACCCCCTCCTGTGCATGCATGCCTTTACCTTTACACCCAGTGATTTCAGGGGCAGTGCAGCACCGAGCCGAGTCCTTGCAAAAGGTTTGGCTTTTGCATACAGCGCAAGCAAAAATAAACACCCCCAATACCCACGCGCGCGGGGGAGCACTTTCTTTTCACGCATAAAGCTGCAGAAAAACCCTGTGCGTCGATGTCCCTGGCTTTCTGAGCAGACGTGCAGTGGTTTGGTGCACCAAAGCTTTGTGCACACGCAGCTCCCGTTCCTTGCTCCCACGCCGCTCCCTGCAGCACCGCAGCTTCCCGCGCTCAGCGCGCGCCCGCCGCGAACTCACGCCCCCCTCCCCTCGGTGGGATTTTCCACGCGCCGTGTGCACAGCCGGGCAGGCCGCCTCGGCACGTAGCGCACGCCCTCTGAATCGCCGCTGGCGCGAGGCGGTGCCGACCAATGGAAGAGCAGCATGCGTTAGGATCGACCAATAGAGAAACAGTAGATGGATAAACTGGCCAATAAGAGATGGGAGGCGGGCAGCTCATCTGCATGAGGTGGGTATAGGCTGGCGTGCGTGCGGCAGTCCGTTCTCAGTCAGCGTTGAGCCGGGTGAGGAGCGGAGTGTAGCGGTGAGCGGGGGGCTGGGCTGGGAGGAGGGCGGCGGTGGGCACGGCCGGTGGGCTGAGCTGCGGAGAGCTGCGAGCTGCTGCCCGGCTGGGTGCTGCGGCACACCCGCCGCTCCTCTCACACCGGAGCTGGGCGGTCGGTGGGCCTGCAGGCCCTGTGCCGAACCGCTGGGCTGTGGGGGGCGGCAGCGCGGTGCGTCCGGGCGGCGATTAACGTCTGTCTCTTAATGATTAAACAGCACGTTTCGGACGGTGAGTCGCGCTTTGGACCTTTCCCCTCTTTAGCGGCGCTGGATGTCCTTCAGCTTCATGTCAAATATTGAATGTCTTACGTCAACGCCTAAATCTGGGCGCTTCGGCTCTACGGACGGGATTCAATCCCGGTTATCTGCGGGGCGCGGCCCCCCGTAACGCGATGCCCATCTGTGGGCAATTCGTGTACGGAAAAACCGCGGCTGCAGTGAGGATCTTGGCCTCTGTTCCGTTACACGCGGCTGAGTCACGGGGCAGGGCTGCAGGAAGCGGTGCGGGTGATCGCACAGCGCGAGGCTGCAGCTCCAGGCCTCCATCTTGGTGAGGGAGGAAGGAGTCGGCGAGCCTTTGAGTCATTCCGTGCCGCACGGTGTTGCGTTGCATTACACCGTGCTGCATTGGTGAGCCGGCACCACGTGGGACGCAGGAGTGAGAGCAGGAGGTGCCGTGTTCGGTCCGAGCGTTTGCTAGGATTTAAACCGGTGAGGTCAAGGATTAATGAGCAGTAAGGTTATTTCTTTTTTCAGGGTGGTCGTAT